CCTGAGTTGAGGGCCTCCAGCTCCACAACTGCTTGCACTACAGGACCATGGAAAGGCCAGTCTGTTCAGCTTAGCAACTCTACTTCAGAGGAAGTTTCAAAAATAAACAAAAAAGATCTGGGGAACCAGCAGTTGAACACACCTGCTGCCAAGCCTGATGACCCATGTTCTGCCCCCAGACACCACAAGGTGTAAGGGGAGAATAACACACGTCTCTGACCACACATGTAGCATTATCATGTGTGCATACAAACACAGAGAGGCTCACAATAAGCAAGGAACTGTGGTGAACCAGTTTAAAAATTAGTTGGAGAGATAGCTCAGTGACAGTATTTTATTACCTTGTGGGAGATCATTGGTTCAACATCCACTACCACAAACAAACAAAGATAATAAATAACAATCAGATGTTAAATTCTGTACAGTTGAGGACTACTTAGAAGTCTAACAAATATTTGAAAGCTCAGGTTGAATTGTTAAAATAACAATTCCATTTAACCCAGCTATCTCGTACTGTGCTAAAGACAAATGGATCTGGTAGAATATGACTTTATCACAGTGTGATTAATCAGGCAGGAGCTCTAATTTCAGCTGTTGTTCCAGATGTCTTATCTCTACTGCAGTAAATTAATTTAGTCTCCTGCACACGGCACGCAGTTCTTTGCCTGGATCATTTCCTTTCCTCTATAGTAATTATCTAAGAGCAACAGAAAGCAGTTTTTATCTCATTTGTCATGGAGAAAGCTACATCTTCATCTTTTTACCCAAGGATAATATCAACTCATATTTCTGTCAGAATAGGTTCTCCAGGGATCATCACACAAAATGCATGTCTGTTGGATGGAGGACATCATGTCTCCCGAGATCATCACACAAAATATTATGCATGTCTGCTGGATGGATGACATCATGTTTCCTGGACTTGGAAGGTCTGAAGTGCCAGTGACTCTGGAGGTGTTGGCGGGATAGATGTGTATCAGAGACTGAGGATAATTCTTTTGAAAATCAGATTTTAATGGATTTTTTTCTTTTTTGTGGTTTTTCGAGACATGGTTTCTCTATACTCTTTTGGAGGCTGTCCTGAAACTCAGTTTGTTGACCAGGCTGGTATGGAACTCACAGAGATCCGTCTGCCTCTGCCTCCCAAGTGCTGGAATTAAAGGCGTGCACCACCAACTCCTGGCTTTAATGGATTTTTCTAAGTGTCTCATGGGATATATTGGTGTTAAAATACTCAGTCTATATGGACACCCCCATGGAGCGCCTCACCCTCCCTGGGGGAATGAGGGGATAACAGGGGTGTTGGGGGTAGGGCACGGGAGGAGGGGAGGGAATGGGAGAGGGACCTGGAACTGACTTGTGAAGCAACCTCGTTTCTTATCTAAATTTAAACTGGAAAATAAAATATAAAAAAACACTCAGTCTAGCATAAAAGAGAATTATCACTGCATATACCGTCATTAGGAACTGCAAGCTTTAGAGAGAAATTGTGGATGGTGTGTGTTTATCTCTATGCTGATGTCTATGTACCTGTGTACATTCACAAGGGTGCACTTTTGTGTAATGGTGAGTCTGGGTTCATATTGGGTGTCTTCCTCTAGCACTCTCCATTGTATATTTTGAAATTGGTTCTTCTATTGATCCCTGAGCTAAGTAATTTGGCAAGGGGGAAACACAAGGAATCCTTCAGTCACTGCCTTCCATGAGTTAGGATAGAAGGCATATGCCCAAACTGACTTTTTCATGGGTGCTGTGGATCCAAACTCAGGCACTCCAGCTTTTGCCTATGTGTTTGTGTGTGACAAGAACATTGGTGGCTGAACCACCTCTGCCTCTCATGGCTGGATTTCTTATTCCAAAGGTAATAAAGATAACATTCTAGGAAGCTCTGGTCTACTCACCAGCAGTACACAAAGCTACTTATTTGTGTTTATGATGAAGAACACAAGATGACAAAGAACAATAGTGCAATAGTGTGTTGTTTGTTGCTTAGAAGCTGTGGTCCATCTGATTCAAAAGGTACTTATAAATATGTGGACAACAATGTTTATTCTCTGGCCATTCTGGAAGAAACTTCTATCTAGCTAATAGTATATAACAATAGGGCATTTGTTACTATTTCTTTGTTTCTGAAACAGAATCTCAATTTATAGTCATATTGTTCCACCTCTTGAATGTTGGGTTGAAATACATGTATGTACCAACACATCTGACTATCCTTGGTTTTTATGTGAAAAGTAGAGATAACTGTTTTCTTTTCAAAAATTAGTTCTTATCTTGGGTTTTTACCCTTGGAGTGGTAGCATAACTCACTCTAGATGATAAATTGATCATATTCTTTTTGTTCCTCATAAACTATGTGTTACTTCCATAAGACCTAGCATGTACAATATCACTACAATCATCTGAGAATAGTATACAAAATATCTAGTTCAAATTTCTTATGAAAAGTCAAGTAACTTGCTTTAACAGGTAGCTCATAATTCCAATGTATTCATTCATAATTAAATGTTTCTCTTGTTTCAACTCTAATAGACAGACTCCTTGGGCATCAACCCAGGTATCTAAGGAAGAAAGATATTGAAGTTTGGTTTAGAAAAACTTCTGATGATAGTTGTCATCAACTGAAAGTACACCACAGTGTTATTGCAGTTTCATTCAAATATGACGTTTGGAGACAGTGAGAACATGGCTTTTCCGTAATCAGAATGCTAAAGACACATGACGTCTTCAAACATACTTAGAAGACCAGATGTAAAGATGTGTATTAGTTAATGAGCAAACACTCATGGAGAATCTGAATTTTGAAGGGGGTGAGGCAAACTGCCTGGTGACCAAGATGCTGTGCAAATGTATGTGAATGCTAATTAAACTGTGGAAGATCTGGGGGGTGGCTGTTGGAACAATCTGTTTTGTGCCAAAAAGCTCAACTCCCTTATTTCCTAGGTCATCATAATGTTTTCTCCCCCTTAGTGGATTCATGAATAAAATGTCCAGTAAAGAATGTATTCCAAATGCTTGAAGTTTTATTTTTCTTCCTAACGCTCATATGACAACCATCACATCGAATTCATCCAATCATATAGATAATTCATCCAATCATATAGATAAACTTTGAGCCTTCAGCCAAGCGAGCATTTCCTAGGTGACTAGGGAGCCATTTTGTGGCAGAATGATTACACTGGACTGCTGTTGTCCTGGAAGGAGTGCTTGGGATACGGATTTGGTTTCCCTGCCCCACAGTGCTTCTGCCGGCATCGATGCCTGCACATTTTCTCAATACCTTATTCTATTAGCCAGCATTATGAGCTTCTGATGCAAAAAAGAAATCTGGTTTTACAACAAAATCAGTGACTTGGACACACAGACTCTGTCATCTTTCCACGGACAGATTCATCTAGAAAGTCTTTGTCCGACAAAAAGTGGAGGACAGTTTATGATACAACAGTGGAAAATCAAAGTCAAGCATTACAGGTAAGAACTTGGAAATGTGAAAATCTACCCTAAAACATGTGGGGCATGTTTGACAGCATCAGGCAACATCAGCATGCGGGCCTGAGAATTGGAGACAGGAGGGCAGAGTGCCTTTCCAAGGGAATCAGTAATGTGCTCGCTGCAAATTTTGTTTCCCAGTCCCAGAATGTTGAACTCTGCCTGGTTAATATTCTGATTCTGGTTATGTCCTATTGGAAACTAAGAGTTCCCCGTGAGCTTTGAGCTGCTTGGGTCATTGACCCAAGGGAGTAAATATCTGATGGTTAATCCAGATAATCAAGGGAATTTGAGACACCGTCATTCTTCTCACTGGTGCTGCTGACACCTTTGATAATGTTTCAGGAATAACATTTGGATCACCCAACAAGTTAGAGAACAATAGTTAAACTTCATTTGCTGGCCGGGAGGCTGGAAACTGGAAACTAGCCCAGGGTACAAGGAAATTATGAAATCTAATCAGAGATTCATGCCTTGTTCCTCGTTTGCTTTCATTACTATATATAATATAATATAAATATTATATTATATATTTATATAGTATATCAGATGTGACTGAGGCAAGATGCTAAAATTAAAAACGTATCATTCAACATTCATGAAACTACATACCTTGGAAAGAACCTAGGCAACTAAGCTTCCCAGTATGTCATTTGAAACTTGGTAGAATTTGTTCCTCTGACAATATTGAAATGTAAAATCTCACTAAACTGGTGGGTAGCTTTTGTGTTTGTGTTTGAGTTTTTATATACAAACCAGCTTATCTCCGTGCTTGTACATGTTGTGTGGTGTGGCAGGTGGCCATGCATTTATAAAACATTAAAAGATTGATTTTTTTTAGAATACAGGTGCATTTTCTTCCTTGCTTCTTCTTTGTTCGAGGCTGTGGTGGGGATCACACCTGGGGCTTCACACATACAAGGCAAGTGGATTATCTCAGAGCTCCTATTATGTCTTCTTACATCACTGTGCTTTTACGTATAAATTACATTTTTACTGAGTTTTGTTCTCTTCCTTTTTCAGGGGATATAAAGTCTTTGGCACATTTCCTAAACAGCCACTGGAAGTCCTCGATGGTTATTTCTGAGATCAACAGGAACAAACACAAGTATTGGCAGCCGGGAGAAATGGCATTCCTCCCCTTGCTTGAGAAACTGTGGTCTGTTTTCATGCGGCATCCTGCATTTTTTCCCTTAAGAGCTTTCCCAGGGTGTTACAAACCCCCAAGACCTCTGGTCATCAAGCCAAGAACAAATTGTGAAGTTGTTTCTGAACTCATTACCTACTAAGATGTTGTCGTTCATCTTAGTTGGACAAAGCACATAACCCAAGCCAGAAAATGTACTTCCTTAAATAATAGTGCTTGTAATTACAGCCTCACTTTGGCCAGCACACTAGGTCTTGGATCAAGTTTCTGAAATATTCCTTTTTAAAAAGTAATAATTTTATAAAGAAGTAAAAGGAATTTGGCACTCTCCCTCCCCCATCACCCTTTGCTGCTCGCTCGCTCTCTCTCTCTCTCTCTCTCTCTCTCTCTCTCTCTCTCTCTCTCTCTCTCTCTCTCTCTCTGTCCTTTCTTTCTAGCAGTAGCCAAGTCATTGCCTTTCTGTTGAAGCCTTGTAGAAGACTGAAATGGCCACAGATTTCTGGGAAGCCTCACAGTTACATGAACTAGGTAAGTAGTTGGAATGAGTTTGCCAAGAGAAGATGCTGGGTAGATATGGGAGAGGGGAAAGGGACCATGAAAGGCATCGAGTCCTTCAAACAACAGCTGCAAATCCAAAGGCAGTCCATATATCTGTGTGAGGGTTTGTTCCGGGGCCTTCTGAGGATCATCAGCATGTGCACACAAACAAATTTAAGATCAGCCCGAATCATTAATAGCCTAACAGTGTTTGCACTTTTACTCACGAGTGAGCAAAGTGCAGTCATGGAAACACATCTGAATATGGTGCTGTGGCTGATATCTTAGTATTATCATCAAAGCCATCAGGGTATAAATTACTGTCATTGAATCTCAGGGGCAATCCTGAAGCTCAGCTGTGGGTGAAGTGTAGCAGCAGCTGAGGATACGGGTAGGGATAGGGGCTGGCTTTGTGATCCTGGCACTGAGAAGCCTAGAAGGCAGACCCCAGACCCACTGACAGCATCCGTCTCTGTAGTCCTCAGGCAGAAGGGCAGAATGTTTAGGATGAAGCACAGGGCTGCTGCGAGAGGGAAGGAGAAGGAACAGAAGGTGCATACACTCCGTGCTCTAGGGATGGGGCAGGTGACTGCCTGATCCCCACAACCACAAGTCTTCCTACTACAGATAGCATCAGGGACCATTTCTAAATTCTCACCCTGCATCTGATTTGAAATGTGAGGTCTAGGTGTTGTTACTATTTTGTTTTTTCATGCTTTGCTCTTTGATTAATTCCCTAATGTAAATTCAAGATTACATTAATCTTTTCTGTTTAATGCACAAACTCTTACAGGAATATTGACAAGATTCATAAACACCCAGGATTTTCTCATTCTCATCAAAAATAATAACTATAATATTATAATAATATAAGATAATCTTTCATAGAATATCTTTTTCTTCTTTTTTTTATGAGACAGGGTTTCTCTGTATTGTTTTGGAGGCTGTCGGTCCAGCCTGGCCTCGAACTCACAGCGATCCGCCTGCCTCTGCCTCCTGAGTGCTGGGATTAAAGGCGTGCGCCACCACCGCCCGGCACATAGAATATTTTTATTTTGACTAGTCATATATATTTTAGAGTACTTAAAGAAAATATCAAAATAATCTAGATGTAAAAGAAATAGAATATTTTAAACTGAATATTCTTTGCCATTATTTATATATATGGCATGTGTAGAGCATGTACATGTTCATGTATGCGAACAGGTATATCTATATCTGGTGTCTTCCTTCATTTTGTTCTTGATCTTATTAGGCCTCCCAATGAACTTGAAGTTCACTTATCCCACTAGACTAACTAACCAGAAATTTCCAGTGATCTTCCTGTCTCTGCATTCCCAGTACTGGTAGTACAGGCATGTTCTATTGCTCCTAGAATGTTACATGGGTCTGGGAATCCAACCTTGGGTTTGCATTTTTTCTTTTGGTTTTTATCGAGACAGGGTTTCTCTGCATTGTTTTGGAGCCTTTCCTGGTACTCGCTTGGTAGACCAGGCTTGGTCTCAAACTCACAGAGATCCACCTGTCTCTGCCTCCTGAGTGCTGGGATTAAAGGCGTGCGCCAACACCACCTGGCTGGGTCTGCATTTTTAAAAAATACTTTATTCACTTGAACAACCTCCTTGTCCCATGTATGATATTTTTGTGGGTACATTTTTGTTCCTACCTGCACTTGAATAACACTTACCAGAAGAGTCATTGTTATAACAGTGAAAGCAATACTAATAATATGCCTTCAATTTCTTCCAAGAGCAACACTGTTTCATGCCTAGAGTATTATGAAAATAAGGTTAAGTTTTAAGTGAAAAAAACGGGATGATGAGATGGATTTTGAGAGTGCTGAGAAGGAAAGTTAATCATTCTCCATGAATGAATTAAAGGATAGAGAATGTGTTTTAGAATAGGAAGGCTAAATAGCTCACTCTTTGTGGTAGGAATTTACACCTAGAAGCACAACTAGAAATTGTGTTTCTCAGCTTCACCATCCACTTCTTATAGCTGAGTGTTACAGGGTGGTGCCTCGTTGTCACCTCATTACAAATTTTCCATCATGGTGGGATCATGTACAAAAATGACAGAAAAGACTACCTTTTAGAGTAAAACAAAATAAATACCAACAACACAATTTTAATTTGCACATACACACACACAAACACACAAAGAATACAACCTGTGCTCTGCTCCCTGTCATTTACTTCACCTATTTTAACACCTTGAATTAGTGTTAACTATTAAGTCGATCTTAATACATTTTAATTTGCTGAATCCATAATTTACATTAGGATTGTATTCTACATTCTGTGGGTTTCAAAAAATTATAATGACGTGTATCTGCCCTCACAATATCATACAGGTGACAGTTTCCACTATTTCCCTAAGCCCAAGAATATGTGTAAAAATTTGAAAAGTAACATCAGTAAGGAAGAAACCTACTTTTGAAACTTTGAACAGAGCCATTTAAAGAAACAAGCTAAAGTATATATTAACTAGCTCAGTTGAGTCATTCCACAGTGTGTGTGTGTGTGTGTGTGTGTGTGTGTGTCAAAATGTTTGTGTGTGTGTGTGTATTTCAAAACATGGTATACACAATCATATATATTCTTTCGATCACAAATAAGATTAGCAGTTTGGAAACGGAATTGGTGATTACATGAGGCCTTTTCTCTTGCTGCCATTTTCTTGAGTTTTCAAGGTCATGTTTAGAATAGAAAACTTCTTAGTATATAATATGCATGCAGAGAAGTATATTTTTACATGAAACTATTTGAAGGAGTTCAGTGCAGAATTCATTTTGTGGGTGTGATAATTATACTGTACAGTTCATATACTGTGAATATCAATATAGATTTCAATGAATGAAATATTTGATTTGTATAGTACTTTGTGAAATGAAGGAAAGATGCATTATCAACCATTATTTTTTAAAATACAGCATATTAATAAGGCCATGGATTTCAAAAGCATTGACAATATTCTCATGACTAAGGTGGAAAATATAGTCTTAGTCAGAAAATGGAAATTGTGGCTAACATAGCAGTGTGAGGCTTAGATTTTAAGGGAAAGAATTAGATAAATTTTTTACTACTTTTTACTCAACCTTGACTATACAACAAAATCCCTGAAAAGGTTAAAAACTACTGAAATCTATTGTCCAGGATAACTTAATGTGTCTTACTGTGGCCCAGATAATGAGATTTTTAAAACTTCTTTGTGATTCTAATATACAATCAAAATCAATCAAGAGAATAAGTTCACAACAGATACCTGGTATTCAAGATACCTACGCTCTGTTCTAGTAGGCAAATCTATTGTGTATAGGATATTTCTAGCCAAAAGCAACAACATAATAAAGACATGGAGATTAGATTTTTGAATGTAGAGCTCACAAGCTAAATCTTCTTTTTTTTCTTCTTAATCTTTTACTTTTAAAACAATCTTAATTACATACCAACACCAGTTCCCTCTCCCTCCCATCCTCCTGCTCCTCCTACCTTCTCCCATCCCCTCCTCAGAGAGGATGAGACCTCCTATGGGGAATTACCAAAGTCCATCACATCACTTGAGGCAGTACCAAGGACCTCCCTGCTGTATCTGGACTGAGCAAGGTATCTCCCCATAGGGAATGGGCTCCAAAAAGTCAGTTTATGCACTGGGGATAAATACTGGTCCCACTTCCAGTGGCCAAACAAACTGCCCAAGGCACACAGTCACCCCCATTCAGAGGGCCTAGTTTGGTCTTATGCAGGTTCCCCAGTTGTCAGTCCAGAGTCAGTGAGGTCCTGTTTGATTGGGTCAGCTGTTTCTGTGGGTTTCCTCATTATGGTTTTGACCCCTTTGCTCATATTATTGCATTTTCCTCTCCACAACTGGACTCCAGGAGTTCAGCCTAGAGCCTACCTGTGGATTTCTGCATCTACTTCCATCAGCTACTGGATGAAGGCATATAAGGGGAAGAGCAGTTAAGGTACTCTCTCCACTATTGCTTAGATTTCTGTTAGAGAATCCATAAACGATGGTGAGTAACCAGTGATGAGCCCTGAGGAAGGTGCTTTATATTGGGCTCAGCCATGCAGTTCTGTTTCAGAAGCCTGAGTGGAGGGCCTCCAGCTCTACAACTGCTTGCACTACAGGACCATGGAAAGGCCAGTCTGTTCAGCTTAGCATGTGAAGTCATTGCTGAACTCTGCTATGAAGGAAGGTCTGGGAAATAGGCTTGACGGCCTGCAGGATGACCTTTTGTAAAAGTATTTTAGTTCAGAGGTGCTGGTAACATAGATTGAGGCTGTTTTAGCAGAGATGAGCCCTAAGACTATTCATGGTATATTTGGAAATATTTAGATACTCAAATCCTGTGGAGAGGGGGGATACATTGTCAGGAATTAGAAATGTCTTTCCCTGGATCTCAAACTCCTTTTTATGCTGTTTAGAAATTTTAGAGAAGAAAAATTAAGAGGTTATTACATCTCAAACACCTTTAGTCAAAGAATGCTGGAAGATGCAGTTGAATTTTATTTTTGGCTCTTAAACTGTTAATTGTGAAGGCCAAACTGTGAGTTAACATGGTCACAGCTGACCCTTACAAACCATCTTGAAGCAGGTGAAGCTTCCACTTACAAGAAACTGTTACTGCAGAGGCACAAGTGGCTCCATATTTAAAATCAAAATGAATTAATTATGAGTCAGGGAAAGAAACGATTTATCAAATTCCAAAATACAACTAATACATGTGTTTCATTTTGCTTTCAGAATGGCAGTTACAGCTCTCTGTAAGGAACACAGTGATGGGAAAACACAACGCTTCACAACCCCTCCAAGAAGTGTTCTGTAAAAGTGACAAGTCTTAGGGAAGAATGGTTGACAAGGCTCTGAAGATCTTAGAGGAAAACTTTCCAAATATATCACGAGAGTGAGAAATGAACAAGAAAAATAAATGGAGTCATGGCTTTCACTGTAATTCAGCCCCTCCGTAGTGTCTTTATGGCTGTTATGAGAGAAAGAAATCATACACGTAAGGTCAGGAAATGAGAATACTGTGTTTCATTGTCCTGGCTCAGCATACACCAAGATGGTGTGGCTATCCCAAAGCTCAGCAGCTTGACTGGGCTGTGCCATGCATTGAATGAATGTTCCATTCAAGAGGCCGCATAATTGTGTAAGAAATGAAGGTCGTGACCTTCAAAGTTTAAATATTTTCCAGATTATCACTGTTATTTTTAAATGTCCTTTTAAATTTAATGTCAATTCATCCAGATTGCATATCAATTTTTTAGGTTTGTCAGTGTGAATGTGAGTCTGTGTGTGTGTGTGTGTGTGCGTGTGTGTGTGTGTGTGTGAGAGAGAGAGAGAGAGAGAGAGAGAGAGAGAGAGAGAAGAAATACAGAGATGCAAAATTTTCCAGAAATTTTTTTCATCAAAACCACAAAAATGATTCTCACATGGAAAACTATAAAGAATAGATATAAGCAGCTAGAGGAGAAAACTCACAATGTTCTTGATACAAAGCAAATAATAAATATTTGAAATGTTTATTGAAAATCATTTTTATGTAGTGTTCTCTGATAATGGTTTCCCATTATCTCCTCCCAGATCCTTCCCGCTGCCCCACCCATCCAAACAGGCAAACAAAGAAACAAACAAAAAACAAATCAGAATTAACAAAAGGAATACAAGGAGCACATATACACACACAAAACTCATAAAAAGGCAAAATAAAATACCTTAATATATGAGCAAAAGACCAGAAGAATGAAAGATGCCCTACCCAAAAGCAGCATGAGAAAAAAAATCTATAAAACCACCACTGAGTTTATTTTGTATTGGTCATTTACTGCTGAGCATGGGGCCTCTATATCAATATGAAACTATTGCTAGGAAAAAGGTAAAAAATGTGAAAAATTCATCTAAGCAAATATAATAAACCTTAATTGCTACATTTAATATCCCTAGTATAAATACAAAAAAACTATTAATGATCCAGCAAAATGTTGTCTTTATATTCTTGTGTTGCTTTATCATTGATATAAAAAGGTATCTAGGCAAAGTGGTTAAAATAGAATTTTTGGAGATACATAAAATAGATAACAGTGATATAATTAAAATTAGACTACATTGAATTACTATAGGTGTGTTTTCTTTTTCTAAATCTTCCTCCATTCAAGCTGAAAAGGCTCTTTGCCAGTCAAGAAAACCACTTAAAATGCTCTGATCTTCAGCAAAAAGAGTAGAAATAGTGCTGCAATTTGTGAAGGCTGTGCTCAGTGAATTGGCGTGCAACTATAAAATGCTGCATCACTGCTTGTCCTCAAAGAGAACTTTCTAGACAATGGCGTTGAAAACTTTCAGTGTTCTTTTCAGCTTCATGATTCAATTGTCGCATGATAATGTAGTTTGAAAATTGAGTTTCTGCATCAGAATATGAAATAATTACAAAATAAACCCAGAGCCATTAGTAGGTAAGCCATTTTCAATTGCAAGTGTTACTTTCTCTTTAAACATTTGAAATTGTTCATTTAATCTGTTGTTACTGTATGGGGATAATACACAGACGAATTACAAGAAAATAATTCTGTCGTTCATTTCAGTGTGTTTGGATAACCAAAGAAATAATGTTGTAAGCAGTTAACACATGATCCAGGTTGAAGACAAGTGTCACACATTAATTTAAAATAATTAGGTATGTTATATATTAACAGTGTAGAGCTAGAAAGAAATCAAATAATTTTATTGAATTTTTTCACTTTATTGACAAGGGGGGTTAGGGAAAGGGAGTTATTTTTTTCAATGAGTGACGTCTCATTTTCCCTGTCTTAAATGGGAAGGAATGACTGGCAAGTCTGCTCATAGGTCCAGGGTACTTGATGACAAGCCTGGTGATCTGACTCTGTCACCAGATCCCATGGTAGGAGAGAGCAGACTCTCTCAAGTTTTCCTTTGACCTGCACTAGGGCTCCATGACAAGTGCATGCTGTATCCTACACACTTACACTCACAAAACATGAATAAATAAAATGCAATAGAAAGCTCAAATTTAAATTGGGGAATAGTTTTTGTCCTTAGTACAGTGATAAGCTACATTCAGAAATACATGCATTTGTGTCATCTGCACAGCTACAGAGGCTCTGATGATTTGTGAATTGATTTTTAGGAGTCTATGGATATTTGTTCTTTATTTTTGATTATAATGAAACGATGATCAAGACTGACAGTGGGAAGGTCGCTTTCCCAGTTTCAACTTCAATCAGAGTTTCATCACCACCAAAAGGATTTGTTGATGCAGTTGTTCACAATGTGTTACATAAATGCACAGTTCTCCCCAGATACTACCATCTTGACACCAGCTCTTACTATTCACAGTGGTCTGCTCGGGCAAGTGCCACCAGCTTGTTAGAAACAGACTCTCTAGCTCCATTCCACTCATCCTGGTATAGAATGTACAGTTTAACAGGTTTTCCAGATCTCCACTGTCCAGGGACTCTAGTACTGGGAAATGTGCATGAACGCCATATACCTCCTGTGACAGATTTGCCAGCTACATGGGCAATCTCTGCAGATTTCATTATAATGTTTGGTTTAGGTCAAGCATAGGCCAAGACAATTCAGAGGCACTTGTAGATTGTTTGCAATTGCTGAGAAATGAGGGATGTTAGATTTTTACGGAGGAATTTGGTGGCAACTGTATTAATTAGCATTTCAAAGCTTTGTGGCATATTCTCCACTTATAAAGGGGACCGTGCACTTAATAAAAGCAGTGTTGCATTGCATAGCTGTTAAAATTTTTCCAGAAAATGCTTCCAGCTAAATTATAAGGGTGAATTAAAGCGTGCCCTTTATAAATAGTCACAAAAGGCCTCTGCAGCTGATTATAGTGTGGGTGTAATTTGGGGAAAGGTTTGCTGTAGGCACAAAATTATAGTACTGCAACTGGAATAAAGCCAAGAGCCTAGCCATTTCCAGGAGCTGTCTCACCACCTGCTAGCACACTATTCAGAACTGAGTCAGAGGTTGGCTGAAGCCTAAGGAGTCATTAAGCCTTCATCTGAAATGCTGTCTGAAATAACTGTTGCTTTTCCTTAGGAGCATTCCTTCAGCCAGACCCTCATCCAGGATCCCAGCTGGAGGTGTGAAGGTAACAGCTTTCTGCCCAGTAAATAAACTCTTAATGGTGTTTGTTCTGAGTCAGTCCACGCATTTTTATCTCTCACATCCTCTGGAGATCTCAAAAGTGAAGACAAGCTCTAAGGTGATTTGAATTTGGTGCCAAACCACAGCTTGAGCCTAAATGCCCCTTACCAAGAACATCCTGGCAAATTCCCCTTCTATCCTTGCTGTTGCTCATTAATTAATTTCTTGACACCTAGGTCAACTTTGCCCAGGTACTGCAAGCTCAGGCAGGCTCTTTCTTCCTAAGGTGTCTTCTCATTTTGAGTATGCCTTCCCAGTGTTCCTGACAATTGGACTAGGATATTTGCATTTTGCTTTTAGATAGAATCTCAAGCTAACAAAAATTCTCCTTGAACTCACTGCTGTTTTCTTGCCTCAGCCTAGAACTAGAATTTTTGAAAGTATCACTTTGTGTTTAGAAATTTTATATGCTTTAATAGAGCTAACAATATTTCATTTATATAGTGCTTTCCTTACTGCATACAAGGTACTGTTTGTGGCATTATATAAAAATTTATATGTGTCACCTATATGTATGTATAAACTCAATTTGATTCTTACTATACCCATGACTTAGGTACTATTAACATTCGTTTTGCAAGACAAATTTTGAAACACAAATATTAAGTGTTTTTGTCAGGGATATAAAACTCCAAATAAGGGGGCAAAAATCAGTCAGAACCCAGATTATACAGTTGTTAATTTATATTACAATTCATTGCTGTTACACTTTAGTTAGTGGAGGAGAGGTTCTGGGACAGAGACCTCTACTTAGACTGCAGGAAGAAAACTGTCTCAAGCTATCACAGAGTCCAGTAGCTCACGGAAGCAGTTCTTCCCTCTTTCTGAGAAATGAAGCAGAACAGAAAAGCTGGAGGAAAATGCTGGCACCCAAAACATTGAATCAAATCATCCTCGAGTTCCTTCTTCCAAGAAGAAGACCACATGTCTGGAAAGTTACAATCTCAAAGAGACTGAAGCAAACGGTGTTCCCATTGGTTGTTTTCTGATAGGAGGAAATGGCCAGGCTGGCTGCAGAGCAGTGAGTCAAATTTCCTGGAGTTACATGGAAGGATGAAGGCTCATGGCAGGAGATCTATCCAATTCTGTCTGAGGTTTTTGTATTCAAATGGAGAGAAGACATATGCTGGCAGGCAGAGGCTGGCCAGGTCACCTGACATTTCTTGGGAGACTGAAAGGAATGTCTCCACTTTATACAAAACACTGCTAACTGCATCCAGTCCATTACACAATTTTGACGACATAGAAGACAAGAGTTAGTTTTTGTTGTTTGTTGGTTTCTTATTCTATTTGTTTGTTTTATTTTGTTTCTTCAAGTCAGCAATTCAAAGTTCTTCGTTGAAGGTAATTTAAGACTTGAGAACACTACTATAGTGAAGGACGCCATTTCAACAGAAAATACTTTAAATTAATATTGAAATAGTGAGGAGTCCAGTGGCACTAAGAACATTTAATATTAAAGCAAAATGTTATTGCCTGCCACTTCCTTTTCTCTTTAGATCATTAGCATAGGATTAAACATTTTAAGTGGTATTTCAACCCTGTACCAAGCAGCTGTGTGTTCTATTAAAAAATACAATATACTCATACATATGTATTATGCACTTAATTAACTGTTAGATTTTCATTTAAAAAGTTCTGATAATGTCATGAATTTTTATGGTGCTTTGGATCTCTGGACAGCCGCCATCAATTTGCATATTTTAAGTAGAAAAGGAGGCATTGGGATTGAAAGAAAAGCAATCCAAAATTCACATAATTTGAGAGGCATGG